CTCACGTTTACAAGCTCCAACTTCACTTTCTCTGAAGAAATCCCAGGCTTTCAGGCTTTGGAGTCTTTCTACTTCTCTGAATACACGAGGGCCCCTGTATATCCAGGAATGTTTCTTTTCTTTGATTTCTTGGGATAGTGTTTCTGAGCAAAAGCAAAGAGACTTCTGTGCCTGGTATTTCCCCTCACTCCCCCAAGAGAGAAAATTTACCAAGGCTGTTAAGACAGATTGAATTTGGGAGGGAAACGTTTTTTACGGAGAGAGGGGTGTAAATAACTTCATAATGGATACTGCAGGTGTTTCGGTAGGTATTAGAGGTTGGGCAGTGGGACAGAATTTGCTGAGAATAAAACAAGGTCAGTGGGCATGCCTATAATCCCAGCACTGGAAAGGCTGGGGCAGAAGAATCATTGTGAGTTTGAGGGCAATCTGGACTACATAGTAAATTCCAAGCCGGTGTGGACTACACAGCAAGATCCTGTCTTCAAAAAAACCAAACCAAACCAAAACAACAACAAAAAACCCCACAATACAAAAACCCACAAAAGAATAAAACTGTCATTAAAATGAGAGGGGGATATTTTGATAAAATAAAAATATGAAAAAAGTCTTGTATTTCAATTATGCAGTCTACCTGAAGCGCCCCACTTGAAGTTGCTCCAGTCTTCTATGGCACTGGTTTGGCATATTGCTACATCAAGTACTCAACAGGATCTTCGACATTTAACTGTTGTGGCTCTAGCTGAATTCTGCCTCTGAATCCAAGAGGAATTCAAAAGGCAAAATACAGTGATTGACACACAGTAGAAATAAAGTAGCATTTCAATGAATTTAAAGTCATTCAAACTCTGTCAGAGCCTCATTTCCCTAAATCAAGTGAGGAAAACTCCATGAAAGATAAGGTCAAGGCCAATTCACAGGCTGAAGAGTCCGGAAACTGCAACCCCTTATCTGGCCCATAGCCGGGAAAGTGCAGCTCAATTTGGAGGCGGTCAGGGCCAGAGCTGTTGGGCCCGCCCGTGATGTGCCACGTGGTGTGAAGTAACTTCCTTTTCCTTTCTCCGTTCTTTTATTTTCGGATTAACGCCCGACAGCGCCTCAGCATTCTGGCATAGACTTGGTGCTGCGGCTGGGTTGCGCCCAGGAGCGTCCAGCCGGTTGGGAGCCAGCGGCCCCCGCGGCTGAGCGCAGCGCTACCCCAGCAGCCGGAGAGGACCCGCTACAGGACAGGCTCTGTGCAGGCTTCGCGCCGACTCAATGCACTCACTGGGCGGCCCCCGAGGCAGTGGGTTGTGGTTCCGGTTCCGTTGCCAAGACACGTGAAGGTCGGCAAGGTGCTGAATCCATCTCGGCGAGTGTGGCGTGGTTGAGCTGGGATGGATTCCTCTTCCTTGTCCTCCGCGGCGGGTATGGGTACAGTGGACCCCCAGTTGCAGCATTTCATCGAGGTGGAGACTCAGAAGCAGCGCTTCCAGCAGCTCGTGCACCAGATGACCGAACTCTGTTGGGTGAGGATCACAGGGCTGGGGGCTGTCCGTTACCCGCTTTCCCTCTGTTCTTCCCACCCCCCAGCGTCTCTTGAGGGAGGACCCAGCAGCACTCCTCGGTTTAATCAGATTGCTTAGGCTAAGAAAGAGGCTGACTCCACTCCTCAGTGGACTGTCACCCTGGGCCTCTGCTTTGTTGGTGCAGAGGATGGGTGCCCGGGGACGTCAGAATTAGACGGATATCCCACTCCGCACTGGTTGGAGCTCTTTAGTGCTGGTCAAGACTGAAAAGATTCCCTCTATACCGGGATTTATTTTGGGGAGCTTGAATCCAGAGGGTCCCTGAATCTGCTGCTCCTGAAGATATGCTTTTAGTATATAATTTTTCTAGCCTTTTCTGGTGAAAAATGAGAGAGATTAAATATAAAAGTGGCATGACCACTTCCATTATACACATTTATTTGCATACTTGTTGGGTTGTTGTGTAATAGGAAACCAGGAAACCGTTCCAGGTCTGAAGGTTGAATTCTCTGGGTCCTGGAAAGGGACTTTGGCAAAGGGTGGAAGGCACTTACAGCTTGAGATCAAAGTGTTCTGGTTTCCAAGACAGCGCAGTTCCCTTCCTTGAGTACAAACTTAGATTTAGAGCCCAAGGGGAATAAGCCTTGGAATTGGAGGGTCTGAAGCTTGTATATACAAGACAACTATAAATGAGATTTATTTTAACCACATTCATGAGTTTTCACTGGCCCTGGCCCATAAATTTGAGTATTATTGTACTATAACCTTCAACAAATGCTTTGATTTCATCTGCCTTGTACTAGAGTGCTTTGAACTTCTTTATTTTTTATTTTCAAGACTGGATGTCACTATGTAGTTTGAAATTGCCTTGCACTTGTCCCGATCCTCCTGCTTCAGCCTCCTGATTGTGAGGATTATAGGTGTGTGTCACCACACCCAATAGCTCAAGTGCGTTGATTCTTCTAAAAATTTTGATAACATTACCTTCAGGGCAAGAGGAGTGTAGTTAAAGACTATTTTAAGAATCTGTAAGCTATGTACTCTTTGGGAAATTTCAGACAATTTTTATTCCTTGTGAGAAGATTCAAAAACCTTAGCTGTAAGTAGGCAAGGTTATGAAATCTCAGTTCCTTAGGATATCTTCCTGTAATGAATTGTTCTTTAATACTTTTTTCTGCAATTAATTTAAAGCCATTTAATGCAAGCATCACTGTGGAGTTACATATAAATTCACTAAAATATAACTTCATTTTTGTGTTGTGATTTTTCTTGCTCTGTAGTATTTTAGGTCTATTTTCTGGTCCTATAAGGACCAGAAGACCAGAGCTCTTTAGGGCAAAAGAGCGCTGTGCTACAGTTTCCCTCTTCCTAAGATGAGGATTAATAATCACATCTGTTCTATAGGATTACTGTGAGAAGTTTTTATTTTTTTTAATTTTTTTTGTCCTCAAAGATATCATTTATTATATTTTGCATTATCCTCACAATCTTTCTAGATAGGCATACATAATATAGACACACTGTATGAAAAACCTTGTATATTGAAGCTAGAATTTTACTTTTCCAAACCATTGTAAGATAAGAAAAATGTAGTCTCTCGCACGTACATTACCACATTTTCTCTAGTAGTCTGCATATCTTACAGTATCACATATTTATGTATATGGCAGTTGGAAATAAGAGAATACCTTTTGGTTTTCTATACTAGGTTACAAGTTTTAGAAGTCCTGAACCTAGTACAAGAAAAATTTTCATTTGAAACCTCAGAGTAGTCTCTTTACAGTCTAAATTATATTTTTCAGA